GTTTTGTTAAAGCCATCCACTTGTGGTATTTCTGTTATAGCAGTAGTAGAGAACCAAGACAGCTTACAAGCAGCCACCTGAGATACAGCTGTTGGTCTCCTCCTATTTGGACCAAGTAACAGCGAAGAGAATCAGAGACTCAAGGAAAGAGTAAGTCCAAAGGACTAACAGACTACACGAATCATAGCCTCAACTAGCCTGAGACTGGAAGAACCAGACAGTGCCCAGCTACTACTACTGACTGCTTTGACTGGGATCACAACAGAAGGTCCTGGGACAGAGTGGGACAAAAAGGTAGAACAAAATTCAAATTCATAAAAAAAAAAGAATAGAGTTACTGGTCTGATAGAGACTGGTACAACCTCTAAGACTGTGGACCTCAGACACCCTTCAAACCTGGACGTGAACTGATGCTCAGAGATCACTTTTCAGCCAAATAGTAGACAGGCCTACAAAGTGAACAGTAACACCTATGAGAAATGTGCTCCTCAGAACAATCAACAGCATGAGACTAAAAAGGTAGCATTTCCCCAAAAACAAAGTTCAGAAGGCAGGAATGGGCAGTAAAGATGGGAAAATAGAGATAGAAACCCAGGTTGGAAGTGGGAAGAATGCTGATACACTGAAAGAACTGCAACTACTGTTATGAACAAAATATGTATAAATTATTGAACAGGAGACTAATATGCTCTGTAATTTTTCACCCAAACCACAATAAGAGGGTCAAATAAATAAACAAAATTCAACTGGGAAAAAACCTACCAGATATTTATAATTTTTTTTTAAATTGCCCTTGTACATCCCATACATCACAAATTAAGAAAACTTAAATTGTCATACTGAATACTGCTTGATGTAAACTGACATGCAAAAATTTTGTTAGCCTTTTGCTGAGAGTATGGCAATTTTCCCTCAATTTCTTCATACATTATATCTGCCTTTGCAAGTGAGCTACTCAGTAGGGTCACATTAAATCTGGGGAAAAGGGAAGTCATTGCTCGTATTTTAGGGAAAAGAACAGTTTGCAATCAGCTAGATTTCTATTAGGTCTTGGCAAATGATCTGCCATGTTAACTAGTTCTGAACCAAAACCACAGTTCCAATACTTACTTTTCTTTAGACACTATTTCTATTTTTAACCCTGCATTTCAAAATTTACTATCATCTCCTCATTTTGGCACTTTGTGGGCACTCAATGGAGCCCTGGTGGCATAGTGGTTGAAGTGTTCAGCTGCCAACCAAAAGGTTGATGGTTTGAACCCACCAGCAGCTCTGTGGGAGCAAGATGTGGCAGTCTGCTTCGGTAAAAATTACAACCTCAGAACCCTCATGATATAGTTCCTCTGTCCTATAGGATCACAAGGAGTTGGAATTGACTTGACAACAATGGATATGGGAATAGGTAGGCACTCAATTAACATGTGCTGGAGAGAATAAATGATTTAGCACAGCTATTGTTCCTCTGGAAAATTTTGGCTTATACTAAATGACATTACTTTCCCCATACTGTTGCTAAGAATAGAAACTCTGGTATCATAGTGCCTAAGGCATTTGACTGCTAACCAGAAGGTTGGAGGTTCTAACCCACCAGCCCCTCCATGGAAAGAAGTCAAGGCAATCTATTTCTGTAAAGATTTACTGCCTTTGAAACCCAAAGGAGGTCGTTATGAGTCAGAATTGACTCGATGGCAGTAGATATGGGTTTATAGCAGAGTTTTTAATATCATAACAATAACGGAATTAAATTACTGTCACACAGCGGACTGTGAAATTTAAAATTCTGCTATAAGTAACCTGATGAATGAAAAGTAGGTCATTCAACAAAGGAAAAATAAACCATACAGGCACTACTTTGGCCTGGTCTCAATTAAAATGATGACTTTAATAAGGAACATTGAAGAAGTTCTTAACAGTTCAGATAAAACTGGCTGAGCCCCAGTTTTTGATTCAAATTTCTCACAACTTTGGCTACACAACTGAAGTAAAGATTTCTGCCTTTTCTGAGAAGCAGGTACCTCCAAAAGCAGCTGGCTTGGGGCACTTACTACATAAGAGAAGTACCATGACCAAAGATGACCACTAGCTATACTTCCTATAAAAAGCTTTCCCATATCACAAAAATAAATAACTAAATAAAATTAGTGACTTGGATTAGTAAATGATCTACATACTTAATAACGGAATCTTACGTGAAACTACAAAATTCCATACTGATTTGGTTTAAACTTGCATATTAAGAAAGCTTTACAGTTTTAAACTGGAAATTAACTTAAACATTTATGCTTGAACTTCACATCTGTACCAGAAAGACTGTGGGAGAATAAAATCTTACCCTTATCAAGGGTAAGGTTCCTATTAAAAAAGAATAATAATAAAGTAAAACAAAACAAAGTAGTCTCTATTTCTGGAGGTTCTAATTAGTTTCTCTACCACCTATCTACCAATTTGTCCTACATGATACTGGAAGCTATGTCACCAGTATTTCAAATACCAGCGGGGTCACCCACGATGGACAGGTTTCAGTGGAGCTTCCAAACTAAGACAGACTAGGAAGAAAAGCCTGGTGATCTACTTCTGAAAATTAAGACAGTGAAAACCTATGGATCACAACAGAGTACTGTCCAACGGAGTACTGGAATATGAGTCCCTCGATTGGAAGGTACTCAAAAAACACAGTGGCTGAAACAATGGACTCTAGCAACACCAACAACCTTGAAAATGGCACAGGATCAGGCTATGTTTCATTGGTTTACACACAGGGTCGCCGTGAGTTGGAGCCAATTCAATAGCAACTAACAATAACAATCAGTTTCTACAAAATAGTGCCCAAATTATCAGACTCTGGTAGCATAGTGGCTAAGTCACTTGCCTGCTAACCAGACGGCTGGCGGTTCAAACCCACCAGCCACTCCTCGGAAGGAAGGTTGGGCAATCCTACTTCCGTAGTGATACTGCCTCGGAAACCCAAGGAGGGGTCGCTATGAGTTGGGGCCGATTCGACGGCACATAACAACAACAACAACAAAATTATCAGACATTCATTAACTACCTGAAACATAAAAATAAGCATATAGCAAGATTGCTTGACCCCAACAATGGAGAAAAATACTCTAAGTCAATCTGATCATAAATCCTACAAAGAAGTAACTTTGCTAAGCGCTGTCTACAATTAAAAAAAAAAAATTGTAAAAAAAATTCATATCTAAATTCTTTCCATTCATCCAGAGGAGCAAAACAAAAGGGACTAGAGGGCAAACAAAGTCTTGCAAGCTTGAAAGACCAGGCACAGCTGCACCAAAACGGGTCACAAGACCTGTGCCACCTAGGCCCTGACTATTAGGCTATGAGGCCAGATGTCACACAAACACCAGCAAAGGGTTATGATGCTAAAGGGCCTACGGAAGTCATATTGGGAGTCAGCTCCACTTTCATGCGATATCAGGATAGGAGAAACAAGGGGTGTGAGTCTAGATGTGAAAGCAGATGTTTCATCAAAAGCTAGTTGGTTGGTCCTATTATTGGCACTACTCATCAGAGGACCGGGAAATGGGAAGGCTACCTTATTCCTCTTCAAGGGGCAAAATATTTTAGAAGATACAGGATGAACATTCAGAATTTTAATTGTCATGCATTTATTGTATGTAAGACATTTTAAAATATATACAAAAGCATGATTTCATAAAAATTATTGCTTAGGATGAAACTAAAGTAAAAAAAAATTACTTTTCACAGAGTTAAGTAAATGTTAAAATGGGTATGAGTTTCTTTTTGGGGTGAGAAAAATGTTCTGGAATCAGAGAATGACTAGTGACGATGGTTGCACAACCCTTGTGAATGTACTAACAATCACCGAGTTGTACACTTTAATTGATACAGTATGAATTTTATAGGACACGCATTATATCTCAAGTTTTAAAAATGGGCACACAGACAGCACGTAAACCAAGAAGCCGATGGATGAATGAAGTTTGGGAAAACTGCCATACAGCGACCAAGACAGGACCAGGAGTCTGCGGACGTGTCAGAGAGACCCAGGCTAGGGGTGAGAGGCCCGATTCAGATTCTTTCCCGACAGAATGAGACAGGGTCGCAAGGCCCCTGCCCCGCCCCGCCCTCCCCACTGCCACCAAGGCTCCTCTGGCCTTTTCAGCTTTTTCCTGATCCACCAATTCCAGGCCCTCTCCCTCTCAGACGTAACCAGACCCTTCAGCCTTTAACTCTCCCGCTCTCCTGATGCCTGCTTCCTCCAGCACGCCTCAGTCCAGGGCCCATTCCTCCGACAGCCGTCCCCGGCCGCCCCTGCCCCTCAGGTCGTCCTCGCAGGCCGCTCCTTGGCGCCCCGGCCGGCTTCCGTACCTGCCTTCAGTGTGCCGCCGGCCCAGCGGCTGGAGGCGGGACCATCACCCTGAGCACTCCGGAGGGCCATGCCCCGGGGGCCCGGGCCCGGGCCCGAGCCCCGGCTGGTGACCGAGCCGTGAGGAGATGCGACGGGAACAGCGCCCACTCCCCCACAGTAGGTTTAGCTCCTTCGGCCCGCGGTGCGCAAGCGCTCAGGCGTCCTTACGCGAGCTCCGCCCCTGCACCGGCACGTGATCCTGGCCTAC